TTGGAGCCTTGGTGGCACAGTGGTTAAGAGCTTGGCTGCTAACCAAAAGGTCAGCAGTTCAAATCCACCAGCCACTTCTTGGAGACCCTATAGGGTAGTTCTACTCTGTCCCATAGGCTCAGTACCAGTTGGAATCAACTCGACTGCAGTGGGTAATGGTAATCCTTTTATTAATGCAGCCCAAGATTGTGATTTTAAAAAAAGTTTATTGTGTTTTAGGTGGAAGTTTACAGCGCAAATTAGTTTTTCATTCAAAAATTTATACATAAATTGTTTCGTGACACTGGTTGCAATCCCGCAATGTGTCAGCACTCTCCCCCTTTCCCTTTCCACCCTGGTTCTCCGTGTCCATTCGTCCAGTTTTCCTGTCTGTTCTTGCCTTCTTGTCTTTGCTTTGGGCAGGTATTGCTTATTTGGTCTCGTAGACTTGATTAAACTAAGAAGCACATTCCTCACGTGTGTTATTGTTTGTTTTATAGGCCTGTCTAATCTTTGGCTGAAAAGTGGATTTCAGAAGTGGCTTTAGTTCTGAGTTAGCAAGGTGTCCGGGGGCCATGGTCTCGGGGGTTACTCCAGTCTCTGTCAGACCAGCAAGTCTGGTCTTTTTTTGTGAATTTGAATTTTGTTCTACATTTTTCTTCTACTCTGTCTGGGACCGTCTATTGTGATCCCTGTCAGAGCGGTTGGTGGTGGTAGCCGGGCACCATCTAGTTCTTCTGGGCTCAGGCTGGTGGAGTCTGTGGTTCATGTGGTCCATTAGTCCTTTGGACTAATATTTTCCTTGTGTCTTTGGTTTTCTTCATTCTCCTTTGCTCTGAAAGTGATGGGACCAATAGATGTATCTTAGATGCAATTTCTTTTTAAAGAACCACATCGCCATAGACCAATACTGAACTTGAAATGAAAACCACTGAGTCTCTTTGATGGGCTGCTGCACACTTCATTATTAGCACAGATACCCAGCCTTCCTTTGGAAGACATAGAGACAACACCATCTGTGTCCTTCTCCCTCCAGGACACTAGCATGCCCCCCCGGAGATGTCATGGTCCCCAGAGATTCTTCCCAAGTCATTTCTGGCTGTGTCATTAAGACTGTAAAACGAGAGTGAACATGTAATTTATCATCCAAGCTGGAACACTTTTGAGAGTGAAAGGAGGCACTATCATCAATTATGCCAAGGCAACAGGTCTAAACTGGGACTGTCCTGAGAGACCAGAAGTGTGGTCAACCTGCTCATGAATCGTGAGGTCGGCGCTGAGTGTTAAACAAGCTGGGGAAGTCCTAGATGGTGCCTAGCCCATCTCAGAGACCAAGCCAGCAAGCTCCCTGATTGGCACAACACTCTAAAGGCAAT